CACAGCGACTGGTACGACGGCCGCCACCACTCCCACTGTTGCCGCCACCATCGCCACCACTCCCACCGCTGCCGTGAAGAGAAGTCATGCGACCAGCAGGGCAGCACGTAGAAAAGGAAGGGCGGCGAGGAGGCACTAGGTGTCAACGGAAGTTGTGTGTTGGCCTCGTCCTCGCTTGGGCGGGCCGACTTCGTGGTCGGGTGTGAGGGGAGCAGCCGACCTGCAGCAGTGGGCGAGCTGGTTGACGAGGAGGTCGACCTGCATGGGGACCACTGCACGGGCGCCAAATTCAGGGTGGCGCCGACTTCAGGCAGGTCGACCTGGGAGGTCGACCTGCGGAGGGCGTCAACGTGGTGACGCCAACTTGGGGCAGCCGACTTGGGTGGTTGGCTGACGGACTGCTGGTCGACCTGGTGGTTGGTCGACCAGGCCTGCTGGTCGACCTGATGGTGGTCGACCTGACCTGGTGGTCGACGAAGGAGGGGCCGACGTCGACCTCGACTCAGGACGCCGAGCAGTTGGGCGTCAAGTAGCCGGGCGTCAACTTGGTGACGCCGACTTCGGGTAGCCGACTTGGGAGGTCGGCGGACAACTGCGCTGGTCGACGAGGAGCTGGTCGACCAGGAGTGCTGGTTGACGTGGAGCTCGCCGACCGGAAGTGACGTCGACCTGGAGCTGGTCGACCGGGTGAGGTCGACTGGTGGTGGCCGTCGACTTGGGAGGTCGACGGGCACATACGGGAGCAGCTGGTCGACGTGGTTGCCCAGTCGACCAGGTTACCTGGGTGACGAGGTTCTGCGGAGAAGTGCGACGGTCGCCCAGGCGAAGTTGGCGAGCCCGACCTAGGTCATAGTATCCCGAGGTCGACGTGGCTGATCAGAGGCAGTCATCAGCGCCAGGTTGACTCGGTGTGTGCACTGTGTAGGTGACAAGGCTCCGCACGCCAATCATCTGCGAGCACCTGTGAAGCGGGTGCGCTGCTGTTCTACGGGAGCAATGCTGGCACGCCGTCATCCTGCGACGTTGGCACGCCGTCGACTTTGCACTGCTGGAGCGCGGTCGACCAAGTCGTGCTGGAATGCTGTCGACCATGCTGCGCTGGCAGTCGACCGACCGGAATGCTTGTTCTGATGTAGTCTTGCCATGCCAACTTCATTGTATCATTGTTGTCAACTTTCTCTAGTGAAACTCTTGCCAATTCTCCCTGTGAACTAGCAAGCTGTGTGTGCACTAGGAAAATGACTAAGGACTAACAAACGCAGAGATCACACGAGCACCCGTGCCTAGCCCGTAGTCTAGCTCTCGGTGTAGTAGTTATCTCCGCATGGTGCGGTGAGCGTGGACGACACACGACTTACCTTTCAGTCTGGTCGACGTAGAGGCCCTTACCTAAGTTTCTCGTAGGCCGGCAGCCGTATAGGTCACTAACGTGCGCGTAGGTGGCACCAAGGTGATGGACACCCTGGAGGGACGGCTGGAGGATGCGAGGAGACGTCATGAGGCCCAGGATTACGGGGCGATACCCTGGGCGGTCGTCGAGGCTGGACTCCGCACCATGTGGGCGGCGGAGCATCCCCCTTCTCGACCAGCATCTCCTCGACCGGTGACCAACGAAGGCGGCGTCGACGTGGGCGTCGATGCCGGAGGTGGCCAAGTCGGCAGCAGTGGGGGAGGCACGTCGAGGCAGAGAGGTGTGATTCACGCCGATGAAGTCGGCGGCGTTCAGGCGCGAGGGGTGCAGTCGTCGGCGGCTGCAGGCTCCTCGCAGGGCGACGTCGGAGGTCGACGAAGCGGGTTATCAACGATGTCGGCGACTCAGGTGACGGCAGGCGGGATTTGCCCGAGCTACGGCTACTTCAAGTTCACGCCGGACAGGATCCTGGTCACCCCACCGCTCACTGGTCGACCCGACATCCTCACCTGGAAGGAGGCCATCGAGCCCCAGCTGGAGATGGCCGGGCTGATCAGCTTTGCTCGAGGTACCGTGGCGACGCCGGATGACCCCGACTTGCGTTCGGAGTTTCGCGCCGTGCAGCTGTTGACCTTCACGGTCATCTCGCGCTGCTGCTCGCCGGGCGTGCAGATCGCCTTGAAGTGGTGCCGAGAGTACCTCGACGCCGGCCACCAGGCGTGGGACCGACGACTTGTTCATCGCCCAGCTGGAGGGATAGCTGTCGCACCTGCGTATGGGCGACGAGGAGACGGCCACCGACTACTGCTACCGTGCCCGGCAAATTCTCGCCACCATCAGGATGGCCGGCGCGCAGTACTCGACAGCGTCGTATGTCACCCACGTCATGCAGGGACTCTTGAGCAGCTACAACCTCCTGAAGCGGCTCTCAATGGCACCGAGTAGAGGACGACGCTCAACGAGGACAACTTGACCTCGTACATCCTGCAGGACGAGGCAATGCAGGAGGCTGAGCGGTCTCAGCAGTTCTTGACGCAGGCGAACTTCGTCGCCCCGGCGAAGCAAGGAGGCTGACTGGGGCAGCGCGGACTGTCTGGCGGCAGTGGTAGCAGTGGCTGGAAGTCGGCCAAGGAGGTCGACAAGAAGAAGTCGACCAAGGAGAGTGGTCGAGGAGGAGGAAGTCGACGTCGGAAGTGCTGGATCTGTCACAGCCCCGACCACCTCTCCTTCGAGTGCCCCGACCGTAGTGACTCCGAAGACGATGATGCCAAGGGAGGCCGCGGGAGGTCTAGCAGTCGTCGCCCCCGTCGAGGAGGAAACCGGCCGCGCAAGGAGAAGCAGTCGACCAAAACGTCGACTTCGGCGAAGGACGCCGACTCCTCTGCTGGCGGCAAGGCGCGGGACAACAAGACGGCGTCGTGCTCGCTGGTCGGCGTCGTGGAGCTGACCGTCTCGCTGGCGCCAGAGGCCGGAGAGGACTTCCGGAGGTGGTCCCGCTCGACAGCAGTTGCTCCCACCACCTGATGGGGACGAAGGAAGTCTTCGTCGACCTGCAGCCGAGCGGCTCCATCAAGCACGTGCGCGGCTTCAATGGGGCGCTGCAGGACGTCCAGGGCCGCGGCACCGTCGCCCTGCAAGGCGAGGCCGGGAAGCAGGTGCTCATCCCCGACGTGCTATACGTCCCGGGTGTGAGGGCGAACCTGCTGTCGTCCTGCCAGCTGAATGAGCACGGCGTGAAGTTGCAAGAGGACGGCGACGGGATGCTGCTCGTCTCGGCAGCAGGAGAGGTGCTCGGACGGGCGACGTACTCCGGGCGTGTCCTCTGCACCGACCTGCGTCCCTGCTCAACGAGGTCGACATCGCCCACGACAGAGGTTGTGGCCCTGCGGGCGATCGTCTCGAAGACGAAGTCAACGCCGGACAGGATACATGCTAGGCTTGCGCACGTCGGCATGGACACCATACGGAGGTCGGCGAAGAACGAGGTCGCCATTGGATTGGACCTCAAGTTGACAACGGGGGCCGACTCAACGTGTGTCTCGTGCGTCGGCGGGAAGCTGGCGCGGCACACCTTCCCCGACCAAGGCTCCGACGCCGACGACGTGCTGGCCGTCGTGCACATCGACCTGTGCGGGCCGTTCCGCGTGGCTGCCAAGGACGACAACTTGTACTTCTTGCTGCTGAAGGACCGCAAGACCCGCTACGTGTGGGTGAGGCCAGTCGCCAAGAAGTCGGATGTGCTGCTGGAGTTCCAGAAGTGGCTGGTGTTGGTGGAGAGGCAGACGCAGAAGTCGGTGCTGATGTTGCGCTCGGACCGAGGAGGGGAGTTCCTCAAGGGCTGGGAGCTCCTCGACATCGACGCCAACCGGGTGGTCACCACGTCGGACGTGGTGTTCTACGAGGATATGTCGCTGGAGGTGTGGAAGTCGGAGCACGGGCCGGTGTCCGGTCGGACGCCGACCAAACCCCCGACCGATACCTCGACAGCGACGCTGCCTCTGCTCGCCGAGGTCGGTGAGCTTGCTGATGAGGACGCCGAGGTCGTTCGTCCTCCTCCCCTCGTGGCCGACCTGCACGGATTGCCTCCTACGTCGGCCTCCGGCGATGACCACGGGCATCGCCGGTGGCCGACGTGACGAGCGGCAAGTTGACGTGAGATTGAAGCCGACGCCGATAGGGGAGGAGCAGGTCAAGGAGCAGCAGCGGACAGGGGAGCAGGCAGCAGGGAAGCCGACCACGGAGCAGTCGGCAACCAGGCAGTCGGCAGAGGAGCCGACTACAAGGGCAGCAGGGCGACGAGGGCAGCGAAGCCGGTGACGAAGGAGAGAAGTCCACCGACAGCGACGTGGTGGAGGTTCGGCCTGAACCCCGGAAGTCAGACCGACTTCGGAGGCCGCCCGACTTCTTCGTCCCTGCTGCCTTCACCACGGTGTATGACGTGGATGATGAAGACGACCTGCTGTACGACGACGCCGAGGAGGATTAGGAGTTTCCGGTGTTACAATACGATCTTAGCTAGAAACGGGTTTAACTAAGGGCCTAGGCTTAGTAGCTTAGGCCAAGCGGGTGTCGAGCAGTTTGTGCCAAGGAGAATTGAAAATGGTTGGAGGTTCACTATAGCACACGAGTACATATAGCAACCTAACAAAGATGAAAGAGGTGCACCAACATACAAGGGAATTACACAACAGCTACACTACAGGCAGATTATACTAAATAGATATAAATCTATTGTGACACACCCCCTATCTGCCTGAAGTGCATAACCATGTGCAGAGCCCCCCTTGAAGGGGTACACCTGTAAAACCCCATTACAGGGCGTGGGAACACCAGCAAGGGGCCCCCTCTGAAGCTGACAAGCAGCAACCACCAAGCAGCATCTGAACCACCGCGGTGGAACAGGTGCCCGGCTGCGGTTGAACGCCCCGCAGCTGGTGCACGGTGTGCGAGGAGCACGGGTACGGGTAGCGGGTTCGGGTAGCAACTAGGTGCTGTACGGGACGGGCCGCACGGGGGTGACGGGCAACACGAGACCGGGCAGCACAGACCGGGTGGGGCACGAGCGAGAACTGACAGCACGGGTGGGGCATCAACGGGTACGGACAGCACGGGTAGGACACAAACGGGCAGAACGGGGCAGCACGGGCAGAACAGGCCAACACGGGCAGAACGGGGCAGGACACGGGCTGAACGAGGCAACACGGGCAGAACGGGGCAGCACGGGAGCACGGGGGCAGCACGGGAGCACGGGGGCAACACGGGGGCAGCATGGGAACACGGGGGCAGCACGGGAACACGGGGGCAGCACAGGAGCACAAGGTAGCACGGGTGGTACAGGTGGGGCACGCACGGGAACAAACAGCACGGGTAGAGCACGAGCAGAAGCACAGGGAACACGGGCAGACAGCACGGGCACGGGCACGGGGCAAGCACGGGGAAGTACGGGCAATACACGGGTATAATCACGGGCACAATCACGGGCAGCAGTACGGGCAGAATCACGGGCAGAATCACGGGCAGGATCACGGGCAGAACACGGGCAGGACACGGGCAGAACGGGTGGAACGGGTGGGGCACGACTGGGTACGGACAGCACGGGTGTAACAGGTGGGACGGGGTAGCAGCACGGGAGACACGGGGCGGGGGGATGACAGGAGGAGGTGTGGTGGTAGTTGCTGCAGCTGGAACATCCACCCACACCCCCTGAACCTCCCCCCTACAGCAGCAACAGCGGCAGAGAGAGAGAGAGGAGGAGGCGTGGCGACTATTGCTGCAGTTAGATCACCCCCTCCATGTCACTCCCCCCCCAACAGCTGCAGTCGCGGTAGATGCAGGTGGGGCAGGGACCGGTCGTGCAGATGCGGATGGCGTACGGGAGATGGGCGGGGTGCGAGCTGGCTGGCGCGTCGGTTGGGCCGCCAATCCCTTCCTGTCCTCCCTCTCCCACCCACAGCGACCGCCGCTGCACACGCGAACAGTTGCGACGGGGGGGGGGAGACGGGCAGGCGGCCGGGTACAGGTGGGGCATCGGGTTCCGGGTGGGGCGACGGGAACGGGACGAAACGGCAGTAACTGGCGTAGCAGATGCAAGCGGGGCAGGAATGGGTCGCGCGGGTGCGGGTGGCGAGTCGCAGGCGGGCTTGCTGGCGCTCTCGTTGGCGGGTCCGACGGCGGGTCCGTCGGCGGGCCCTGTGACGAGCCCGTCGGCGGGTCCGTCGACGGGCTTGCTGAAGGCGGGTTCGCGGGTCCGCTGGCTCGCTCGCTGAAGGCGGGTCCGCGGATCTGCTATCTCTCTTGCTCGCGGGTCCGCAGGTGAACTGGGGGGGCCGTAACGGTGGGGCGCGACGAGCGCCCTCGCGCAGCTCGTCGTCGCTAGCGCAGCAGCAGCGGGACCTCGAGCCGGTGGGGCGACGGGCTGCAGCAGCGAATATCGCGCGGGTGGCGGACTGCAGTAGCGGGTAGTGCACGGGGTCGACGAGGGCGAGAGCGACGGCGCGAAACAGCGGGTCGACGAGCGCCGTCATTCCCGCCGCGACCGTTGCGTCTGTCACGACTGCCGTGACGGATTTTGCTATGGGCGAGCGATGGGGAGGGACGAACGGAGCCGCGATTTGCTGCTTGACGGGACGCGCCATCACGATAACTAACGGTGGGCCCTTAAAAAAAAATAGGTCGGGAACGACCTAGCTCAATACCATATTACAATACGATCTTAGCTAGGAACGGGTTTAACTAAGGGCCTAGGCTTAGTAGCCTAGGCCAAGCGGGTGTCGAGCAGTTTGTGCCAAGGAGAATTGAAAATGGTTGGAGGTTCACTATAGCACACGAGTACATATAGCAACCTAACAAAGATAGAGGTGCACCACCATACAAGGGAATTACACAACAGCTACACTACAGGCAGATTATACTAAATAGATATAAATCTATTGTGACATCCGGAGCTCGACCCCGACATGCTGGCCGACCCCAAGCACCGTTGGGACATCTCGACGATGACGGTGAAGGAGGCGTTGGCGAGCTGGAAGGGCCCGGCGGTGAAGGCCGCCATGGAGGAGGAGATCCGCAGCCTCATCAACACGAGCACTTGGGAGCTGGTCGAACGCCCGCCGGGACTGAACATCATGAAGAACCGGTGGGTGTTGACGACGAAGTACCACGTCGACGACACCGTCGAGCGAGAGAAGGGGAGGCTGGTTGTGAAGGGCTTTACGCAGGTGTACGGCGCCGACTACGACGAGACGTTCGCGCCAGTGGGCAGCTACGTCACGCTGAGGATCTTCCTCAGCATCGTCGCAGTCCTCAACCTCAACCTGATGCAGCTCGACATGAAGAACGCCTTCCTGCAGAGCAAGCTCGACCGGGTGCTCTACATGTCGCAGCCGGACTACTTCAACGACAGAACCGGCCGGGTGTGCAAGCTGCTGAAGAGCCTATACGGGCTGAAGCAGTCGTCGCTGCTGTGGTACTTGGTGCTCAACGACGTGCTGGTCGGCGCCGGGTGGAAGAAGAGCCAGGTCGACGAGGCTCTGTATTTCAAGGTTGGCGACGACGGTGTGGCCTGCAGGGTGTTGGTCTACGTCGACGACTTGCTCGCCGCCAGCACCAACACCGAGATGCTGAAGGAATTGAAGGAGCTTCTGAAGTCCGCCTTCGAGCTGCGTGAGATCTAGCCGGTGCAGAGGTACCGCGGGCTGGAGATCGTCCGCGACAGGTCGGCGGGGAAGCTGTGGCTGCACCAGCAGGGCTACGCCGACAAGCTGCGTAGGCGCTTCATCGACGAGGAGCAGACCGGGCGCACCCCGAAGACGCCGGTCTCGGTCGACGCCTACACCGAGCTCACTTTCGACAACGAGGAGGCGCAGGAGCGACAGGAGGAGGAGTACAGGCAGAAGGTCGGCTCGCTGCAGTTTGCGGCGACAACAACGAGGCCTGACATTGCCTTCGCCTGCAGCAAGCTGGGGAGCGGCCTCACGGTGAGGAGCGACCAGCACTGGCGCGAGGTCGACCGCTGCCTCGCCTACCTCGCCAACACGCGTGACACCGCCCTGGAGTTCGGCGGTGGACCTGAGTCGCTGGAGCTGGTCGGCTACGTGGACGCCGACGACGCCGGTGACAAGCAGAACAGGACGAGCACGGGCGGCTACGTGTTCGTCTACGGAGGGGCCGCAGTCTCCTGGTCGAGCCAGCGCATCAAGTGCGCGACGTTGTCGTCGACCGAGTCAGAGTACGTGGCGGCCACGGAAGCCGGGAAGGAGGGACGTCGACTTCGCTTCCTCCTCGCAGAGTTCCAGCAGCTGGACGCAGGGAAGCTGACCGTCCTTCGGGTGGACAACAAGTCGGCCATCACAGTCGCCGAGGGCATGGGGTTGACGGGCAACCTCAAGCACATGGAGCGGCGACAGGCCTGGCTGCAGCACATGGTGAAGCGCGGGAAGTTCTCGCTGAGGTACAACCCGACCGCTGAGCAGCCGGCTGACTTTCTGACAAAGGCGCTGCACTATCCGGCCTTCAACCGGTGCTCCGTCGCCATCGGCCCCGACGTGGGCGACGAAGTTGACGACGTGCAGCAGTAGGTGCCATGCCCTCTTGCATGGCTGGTGCGGTGGACGACGTGCTGTGTGTTGGGTGCACGTCGACGAGCTTTTCTCCGAGGAGTACTGCCGTGTGGCTGGGGGCCCAAGCGTGAACGCGGCGGGGGAGTGTCAACGGGAGTTGTGCGTTGGCCCCGTCCTCGCTTGGGCGGGCCGACTTCGTGGTCGGGTGTGAGGGGAGTAGCCGACCTGCAGTAGTGGGCGAGCTGGTTGACGAGGAGGTCGACCTCCATGGGGACCACTGCACGGGCGCCAACTTCAGGGTGGCGCCGACTTCAGGCAGGTCGACCTGGGAGGTCGACCTCCGGAGGGCGTCAACTTGGTGACGCCAACTTGGGGCAGCCGACTTGGGTGGTTGGCTGACGGACTGCTGGTCGACGTGGTGGTTCGTCGACCAGGCCTGCTGGTCGACCTGATGGTGGTCGACGAAGGAGGGGCCGACGTTGACCTCGACTCTGGACGCCGAGCAGTTGGGCGTCGAGTAGCTGGGCGTCAACTTGGTGACGCCGACTTCGGGTAGCCGACTTTGGAGGTCGGCGGACAACTGCGCTGGTCGACGAGGAGCTGGTCGACCAGGAGTGCTGGTTGACGTGGAGCTGGCCGACCGGAAGTGATGCCGACCTGGAGCTGGTCGACCAAGGGTGTGGTCGACCTGGTGAGGTCGACTGGTGGTGGCCGTCGACTTGGGAGGTCGACGGGCACGTACGGGAGCAGCTGGTCGACGTGGTTGCCCAGTCGACCAGGTTACCTGGGTGACGAGGTTCTACGGAGAAGTGTGATTGTCGCCCAGGCGAAGTTGGCGAGCCCGACCTGGGTGATGGTCTCCCGAGGTCGACGTGGCTGATCAGAGGCAGTCATCAGCGCCAGGTTGACCCGGTGTGTGCGCTGTGTAGGTGACAAGGCTCCGCACGCCAATCATCTGCGAGCACCTGCGAAGCAGGTGCGCTGCTGTTCTGCGGGAGCAATGCTGGCACGCCGTCAACCTGCGACGTTGGCACGCCGTCGACTTTGCACTGCTGGAGCGCGGTCGACCAAGTCGTGCTGGAACGCGGTCGACCATGCTGCGCTGGCAGTCGACCGACCGGAATGCTTGCTCTGATGTAGTCTTGCCATGCCAACTTCATTGTATCATTGTTGTCAACTTTCTCTAGTGAAACTCTTGCCAATTCTCCCTGTGAACTAGCAAGCTGTGTGTGCACTAGGAAAACGACTAAGGACTAACGAACGCAGAGATCACACGAGCACCCGTGCCTAGCCCGTAGTCTAGCTCTCGGTGTAGTAGTTATCTCCGCACTAGGGTAGGTCGGGGCAGTGCACGGTTAGGGAAGGGCGGCGCGCGGCCAGAGCAGGGCTGCGTGCTGCTAGAGCAGGGCGGCGCGCTGCCAGAGCAGGGCGGCGTGCGGCCAGAGCAGGGCAGCGTGCGGCCAGAGTAGGGCGGCGTGCGGCTAGAGCAGGGCGGCGCGCGGCCAGTAGCAGGCAGTAGCTCCTAGGGAAGAAGCACCAAGGGCTATTTTTTTTATTATTTATTTTAGGGTTTAGCAAGGCACACAGGGCATTGCAGAGGCGGCTCGGGCAGGGCAGAGCAGGACGCCAGCGCGCGCAGGGCAGGGCGCTGGCGCGTTGGCAGGGCAGGGCGCTGGCGCGCGCAGGGCAGGGCGCTGGCGCGTTGGCAGCGCAGGGCAGGGCGCTGGCGCGTTGGCAGGGCAGGGCAGCAGTGCGCACGGGCAGGGCGGCGCTGGGCAGAACGTGCAGGCCCGCGGCGGGCGCAAAACGCAGGCACGGCGGGCGCAAGGGGCGGGCCCGCGGCGGGCGTAGCGGACAGGTGCGGCGGCGCGAAGGCAGGGCCCGCGGCGGGCCTAACGGGCGGGCGCGGCAGCGGGCGTAACGGGCAGGCGCGGCGGCGCGAAGGGAGGGCCCGCGGCGGGCCTAACGGGCAGGCAGTAGGGCGCAACGCGCAGGGCAGCAGGACGCTACGCGCGGGCTGCAGAAGAGCGCGACGCGCGGGGCAGCAGAGCGCGACGCGCGGGCTGCAGCAGGGCGCGACGCGGAGGGCAGCAGGGCACGGGGCAGGGCAGGGCGTGCGCGAGGCAGCGACGCGGGGCAGGGCAGGGCGTGCGTGATGCAGCGCGACGTGGGGCAGGGCAGGGCGTGCGCGATGCAGCGCTACGCGGGGCAGGGCAGGACGTGCGCGGGGCAGCACGACGCGGGGCAGGGCACGGCGTGCGCGAGGCAGCGCGACACGGGCAGGGCAGGGCGTGCGCGAGGCTGCGCAACGCGGGGCAGGGCAGTGGGGTAACACAGTAACCGCAGTAGGTCACTAAGTAATGGTGGGCCCGACCTAGGCTAGGACCTGCTCTGAAACCATGCCAGAATAACGAGCAGGGATGAATGAACTAGCTGCAGGATGGGTACAAGTAGGAAACCCTAATTTTTGTTGTACCCCATATGGGCTACCCCACTACAGCCTAAACAACAAGCAGCATATATGTTTGACAGTCTCTACCCTTCTTTTGAGAACCGTGATGCCCGCCCCCTCTCTCACAAGCACAAACCAACGCAGCATAAGTGTCATGCTTATACTGCCCAAGAAAAGCTAAAGTAGCTCATGCGCCTAAAGGTGGTGGTTTCGGTCGCGCGCGTTGTTTCATGAATCCCGCATCCACCGCAAGTGTTTGACCGAGTGGAAAAGAGCTGCGGAGGTCCTACAAAATGCTCATGGCACACGGAAGCGCATGCACGGTGCAGAAGAGCATCATGGTATTAGCCAATGGAGCTCATGGTGTGCGCGAAGCTCCTCAATTGGTGGCGCAAGGGACTTGCCGTGTCGTCGGTCGTCTACAGGAACAGTCTCGGGACTACATAAAGATGCTCTTCTTGGATGTCAAATGGAAGGGAAGTCAATGGTAGTCGGATCGTTTTCGCAAACCAATGGAATCTGAGCATATGCATGAAGACTAAGGTGACCTAAAAAACTTCCAACCGTAAGATTATCGTAGTTTTTTATATCACCACAAGTGCTTTTATATGATGTTGTTTCACTA